AAATAAATAACCTTATTATGTTTTTTTATTGAAATTTATTTTAAATAAATATCATTTATAGACTTATATAATCTTCAATAATATCAGTAGTACTATTATTTCATTCACCTTAAGAACTGAAAAAGTGTAACACTTGAATATCTGAATTTCTATTTTAAAAAATTCCAAATGGATGTATCATATCGTATGGAATTTTCGCATGCAGAGCAGCAACCATAAACCCAACCATGGATTAAAATTAAAGCTCAACTGAAAAGTGATATGGATGATAAGTTTTAAATATCTAACTTTCCACTATTTCATTCTAATGCAATTTTATAAACCTAAATATGACAACCTATTAATAAAAACCTTTTGGTTTTATTCTTATTAATTATCCTTCTAGAATTTGTGTAGGAACTACCTAATAAAAATCGACAATTTATAATTAATTTAATTGTATATGTTTCATAAGACAGAAATAAAATATTTATTATAATGTTAAGTTTAGATTTCACAATTCAATAAGATTAATGTTGTTTAAATAATTTGTAAAATGAATCTAACAATTAGTTCATCTTCATTTCAAAACATTTCGGATCCACTTTATAATTTATAGGAACAAAATGTGTTTCATAAGAAAGCGGATCAAATTAGATATCCGCTTTACAATTTATAGATTTTGACCCTAAATAAAAAATCAATTTTGAGAAAAGCCAAGTATCATGTGTAGACAAGATATATAATAAAAAGATAAATTTAAGATGAATCTTTGAGGTTTAATTTAAGGAATAAAATAAAAGTGGATTATTTTTAAATGTTTTAAGAAAAAAAAAAAATATGAAATATTCAAATTGATTAAATTCTTTCAATTGGATTTTAAGCAATTAATAATGGAAAAATAAAGAGACAAATACTAACTTGATTATTAAGTGGATAGCAGATACACAACCCATTGATATTGATTTAAAACTTTTTAAAATAGGGAAATAGCAAGATTGCTATAAGATTTTGAGAGACTTATGATATCCATCAAACTTAATGATATTAATATCATCTTATTTACAGCAAGCGATTAAATCAAATATCAAATATAACTTATTGAATTTTTAGTTCATTAGATTATAAAATTAATTATTTTATTTATTTATTTATTTTTTAATGTCTGAAGAAAATGATGAATCATTCAATCAATAAGAACCTCATATTAAGTTAATTAAGGCCATTAAATAAAATAATATTCAATAAATCAATAGCTTAATTTAATAAGCGAAAAATGAGAATATTGACATAATCAATTACTAGATCAGATATTAACCAATTCATTTAGCAGTATGGATAGGTAATATGAAAATCTTTTTACTCTTAATTTAAAATGGGGCAAACGTAGATGCAATATCTGATAATCATATGAATTGCTTAACGATTGCTGTCTACAGATAACATGTTAATTTAGTTTAAGCATTGATAGCAAATATCAAAGATCCAAATTACTTATCAAAAAGAGGGACTGCCTTGCATATCGCAGCCTAATACGATAATGAAGAAATAATGGCACTATTACTCAAGCATCCAAAAATTGATATCAATCTTAAATTCAAGAATTAGACACCAATTT